CTGTTGAGAAATATTCTATTTTGTTGCATAATTCTAATGTGCTTTTCTGAATCTTTTCTTGTATTGATTTACTCTGGTTGGCGATGGATTATTCGACCTGTGGCCGATTATGCCCGACTTGACCCATGCCTCAAAGTGACCCGCGAATTAAAACTTGAAATTTGCTCATTTTTAAGTTTGGTCCCAATTTTTGAATCACTCTCATTTCTAGTATGAATTTCAACCCAACACTACATAATGGAATTTGGATCATCATACATCATGCAGGTGAACCGGATCAACATATATACACGTTTTTATTTGTAATCAAATAGTTAAAATCCATGTGAGACCGCAAATTTACAAGTGGACTTACGGTTAAAATCCTCGGAAGTCCGTACAGGGAACTGTATATCGAATCTGCCCAATTGAATACATACATTCCAATTTCCTTAGTTTATTATCAAGTTAACTGGACACTTAATGATATCAAACTACCATTTTCTATATATTATTTGCCCTGGTTACCAAACAATTTTTTTAATAAAAATAATATACATTCGTAAAGAATAAATATATATATAAAATGCAGTTTTTATTTTGAAACATCGTGAATTATTATTAAACTGGTAACCACACTTGTCTGATCACCAGCCCAGTTTAAGTATGACCAACAAAATAGAACACAAATCAAAAGTTCAAACATCAAACAGATAAAGAAACTCAGAAAATGAATGAAGATTTTGAGCCATTACAGAACCTCCTCGTCTGTACAAAAATTGCACCCAACATATTTCCACTTCATATACACAACTCCACAGCTTTCCAAAGTACTGTAACATGAGGAGACTAAAGTGAACACCAGATCATCACATGTATACAAACAAAAGAATTATAACCTTGTGTGGGCTCATCCAATATCTAGACAAGGGGTGGGGGACTCCTAACCGAGGCTTGAAAAACCGCTAAAAAGAGAGCTAGGAAGTAACCGGTCTCCAAAAGAATAGGAAAAAATAGGCAACAAAATGTACAGACAAGGAAAAAAAAAAANCTTTTTTTTTTTTTCATTCTATGAGTTGTCCTCGTTTAAGTCGGACATTGACTTGCTAGGAGCAATTGTAGGGGGTGACCATTGATCGGGGACCATCAAGAAATAGGTCGTCATGGCTTTCCGGAATCTTCTCTTGTATTGCTTTGGGGAAATTACGGTTGGGGACGCATTTTTGGGCCCGCCAAGGATGCCTGAAGCTTTGACCCATGTCTCGAGGTGTTTGTCCCATGTGTACTGCCTCATGAAGTCGATTATTCCAAGAACAAGCTCGTGTTTCTCCTCATCAACCCCGACTAGAAGCGAGTAATCCATCACGTCTATGGACTGCAATTAAGAATTTCAAGAACAATAATTTACTATATATTTTTCTGACTGGAATTGAAAAAAAATCGTTTTTTATATTAGCGATAGCGACCCAGGAACAAATTCATCAGAAATTGAGAGAAATTTAGAACTTACAGCGAGGAAAGCAGTATCGTTCCACACTGCTCTTTCTAGTAGTCTTTTGGCTTTATTTCCAACAAAGATTGGAGAAGTTGGCATTGCTTCAATTAAGTTCTGATCCAACAAAACTTTGTTGCTTCCAGAAGAATCGGGATTGTATCGTGATCTGGAAGATCCTTTGAGATCATAAAGTCGGGTCAGATTCCTTCCAAACAGAAGATTCTCCATAACCAACACGTCCATTTTTGTTTCCTTCCCTCCTTTCAGATGCTTGGATGTAACCTTTTCAACAGAAAACCAAAANAAAAAAAAAAAAAAAAAAAATCACCACGGTGCATCATAATTCGTACTACATTGTGTGGAACCTGACATAGTAAAGGCATGTATAATTCATCTAATAGTGATAACATGCAAATACTAGGGTCGATATTAAGTAGTACACTTAAGAAAAGTCTAACGACCCAACTATCTAGCAAAATTACAAACACCTCCCTAATATTTGTTCCTGTGAACATATTCAACCCTCCAGTTATAAGAATACAAACCTCAAGGCTACAGTTATAATGCCTCAGAGGGTTAGTTGTAACTTCAAGGAGCAATTAGCATTTCTTTATAATCAGGGCATACAGCATGGATGATTATTGTTATAATCCCAAATAATTAAATCAAACCAAGAAGAGTAGAGAAATAGGAAGGTCAGAAGAGAAGCTCTTCACAAGAATATTGCAATAATTTTTCTTGTGTAGTGAGAGCAGTAAGGTTTAGAGAAATAGGTAAGAACATATACATAGGCGTAACCATTGACAAAGCAAGTCAGATTGATTGGGTGACGGAAAAAATAAAAAAAAAAAATTATGTACAAAAAATTATGTACAATACTATAAAAACTTTCAGACTTCAGTTACCTGATATATCCCAAGTATCTTCGCTAGGCACGTGGGACTTCCCGAGCCTATTGATTCCGAAAGATACTTAAAATAGCTAGGAGCAAATTTGATGAACGACTCCAGCTCAGTCTTCGTCACTTGCTTGATGATAAACCTATCGTCCAAGGTCTTCGCAAAAAAGACGTTGCTTTTCCCACCTTGAGCTCCCCACTTCTTGCACCTGCTAAGGGACCGAATAAAATCCACCTCAGACGGGCAACATATCCTCCTCAGGGCCTCAAAACGCTTGGCGTAATAGCAAGTCACGGTGTACTTGACCTTCCCATGGGGCCCGTTGTCCGAGAAGGACACTCTGGCATGCATGGCCTTTGTATATGACAGTGGATCCATAGGCAAAGAACTACGGGAGCTCGTTAAAGATGTCAGCATGCTCTCGTCTCCGGATCCAAGGCTCCTGTATGACTCCAACATCATCTCGTCAAGAGAATTAAATGAAGGAAAACTCCCTACATCAAAATGCTGAGAAGAAAACGTAGAGTCTGAAGTAGAGTCTTTGACCCTGTCAGGTTGTTCATCAGACAGCTGGGCAAAATAATCGGGCGAAACAAGCGCATAAGAAATGATACTCGTGGGCTCATCATCGTACACAGGAATAACAGTTTCGTTGACTCCCACGGGCAGGAGCAAGCGGGCCCCGCCCAGGAGTTCAGAATCCCGAAATGATGAAATGTACACTGGATTGTATTCGTCCAGCGTGTTCAATTTCTCAGCTGGTCCTACGAAATTTTTGTTTATCGATCGGTAAAAACTCAAAAATGGCATACTCAACCAGCTTACAGTGTCTTCCAAATTCTCAGAGCTTTTGGCAGATGAAACAGAAGGTGACTGAGGAGGAGGCGCCTTAGGTAGGCTTAAGTCCTCTCTGTGGTCTTCCACTTCTAACTTGTTTGATGACCTGAGGGTGGATAGACTATCTACTTCGACTGATTCGGAGAAACTCTTATTCTTGGGAATCGGGGTTCCTGTGTGACTTTGGCCGGTCCATGCCGAGTCAAGGGTTTGCGACAAACAAATAGAATCTTGACAATCAGAGAAGGCCCTACGGACACTAACACCAGAAACCAATGGATCAGATTCATCTGTGGGATTCATCTCACAAACAGGTGTTGCCGGGCTTAGATTTTGAGGAGTGGGGCTGAGAATTGCATCAGGTTTTCTATCCTCAATGTCATTGTTCGGAGTAAGGCTTGCAACATGGTCGGGATTTTGATTAGTCTTTGCATCCACACCGCTATTTTCAAGATTACCCAAACGTGTCTTAATTGGAGAACTTAAATCAGGGACTTTAAAAGTACCATCGAGGAGTTTCACCGTCGACTCTGAAGGTGTAACTTCCATGACATTTGGTTGATTCTTAACATCTTGGCTGGCTGCGTGTATCAGGCGTTGGTCCCACATATAAGACTGGAAAACTAGTTGCCTGCGGAGCCGATTGAGCTCGAGAATATCAATGGCAGGTTGGCCCTTTTTTACCTCCTTCTTCAGAATTTTCTCAAGTGTTTCCTGTGAATCAAATTAACACTCTTCAACACCAGCAATTGTAAAGTATGAATTATACTTTATTTTAAGTCCCTGATATTACTACAAAGATTATTCAGCAGAATCTCTCTTCCCCAAGCCAAGACAAAAAAATAGAATTCATGAATCAAAAGCGTATTTTTTGCTTCACTGGCATTAACATCAATTATGAAGGAAAACACAAACATATACATATAATATAGCTAAAGACCATCAATATGAAAAATTGAACTCAAGATAAACTGACTCCATACCTCAAATTCTGACTTCTCTTTCTGCAGCATACCCTCAAGATCTGAAATCAAGCGTTTCGACTCAGAAAAGTTGGTGCCGCTGCTGACCATACCTTGGGCAGATTTTCTTTCAACCAGAAGCCGAAGAGCATTAAGCACCTCAGAGAACAAAAGCTCAGCTCGCCCAACCACCTGTTAGAAAGACAACAAACGATAAACACAAGCTTTTGATAGCAGCAATCCAGGAGGAAAAGAAAGATCGTGCTCATTTCACCTCATTCAGTTCTCTTTCTATCCACTCCTGGCTTCCATAGCTGAAATCAAGTTTATGGGGAGGTAGGTACACTGAATGAACGTCAATTGATGCATAACGAAAGCAAGCAACCATTTTTCCAAACCTGCAAGAAATCGAACATCACAAAACATCCAGAATGAATCGAAAGTAATAAACTATCTTCTCCCCCAATTCAAATATAACATGGGCATTGATAGCTAGTTGAAACTTGAAAAGCAAGCCACCAATCTTATAGTTCTTTCAAATGTGTAACAGATAGGAGGAATCAATGAGATAGCTCAGTTGGATGGGTCATTTTATTCGAACAGCAACGTAATCAGTTAACTCCATTGTGAAGTTTATGTGACCACATATTGCTTGATTGTCTAGTGATAAACATACTTCAAGATTCTCAAGTACGGAGTAAACCAAACAAAAGACATCTTACCCATAAAATCGAAGACAGTCTCTATGTAAAGAATGACCACAGCTTGCAACTCTGCTAGCAGCTGCATGGTTTGAAAAGCTTAGCTCCAAGAACTTTCCAAAAGACAATCCCCAAGCAGCATCGGACATCACAATCCTTCTAGTTGCGGGTGGGAACCCGTTAGCTCTAGGACATCTCAAGCAACGGTGCCACATCCAAATCTTTCCATCCTTTTCCCCAGGTAGAATAATTTCAGGCAGCTTCTTTACCGATATTGTAAGGGTACCTTGTCTGTGCGTATAACACTGAACGTGAGCTTCGGCAGGCATCTCACATGAGCGGCATACATAATTCTGTCAGAATACAAAGAATTTTGTGATATCTCCAGTAACAGTTACACGTGCAGAGTTAATTAGTAATTTTCTCATGAGCTGAGTACCTGATCAAATAAATGATCCCGTAGAAAACGACCCAAAGGCCTGTCAAAGTTACCGTAATATTTTATTCGAAACAGATGGGATCTTTCACATACAGTGCCCTTCCATACACATCGTGACGACAACGAGACAAGGATGCTTCGATGGTCCGAAGGAGAAGGCGGAAACTCTTCTTTTGAAGCAGGCTGTTCCTCGCGGATTTGCTTTCCATCAGGCAAAGACGATGGGTTCGTAACACTACTGCTGGAATCAATTTCATGATGATCGCTTTGCATGACTTTTGTGCCCGAGTTGCCAAAATCACCAGAGACGTAGCAACTCCCAGTAGCAGCACCTGTGTCTTTTTCAGAAACTTGAGGCTCTGAAGACAAAGACAAATCCGCAAACCCTCGATCTTCTGAGGCATCGCGACTAAAGCCCTCATTCAAGGTAGAATGCGGAAAATCTTGTACAGGGGACGAGATAAGGGAAGGATGACGTCTCATGGGAGCACTGAGGTTAGATGCTTCTAAACATTCATTCCCTTGAACAGGTGTAATTGTTGCCTTCATCAGATCTGAAGTGGGCACACTGCTCGGCCTAAGTGGTTCACCAACAGATTGAGGCCCGGGAGATTTTTCACCAGCTGGGGCCATGAAACCAGGCACAACTGAGATGGACCTATCAATCAATGATGCCTTCTCTGGAAGTGCCACATTAATTGGAGAGTTCAAAGGAAATTCCGGCAGGGAGGCACCTTCGTCGGCAAGAAAAGATGTCTCCAGAGCCAGATGATAAGCTGCAAAGACTCCATACTGTACGACATGCTTCACTTTCTTCAACTCATCCCCACTGGCGCCACGAAGTAATATCTGAAGAAATCAACATCTTGATATGTTTTAGATATAAATTAGATGAAACTAATAAATTGAAACGTATATAGTGGTATAAAGACCAAAATTTGGTAGAAAATTTTAAGATGTTCTTCATGAAAGTTCATAGTACTTCTAAAGATACAATGAGTATTAATTAGACAGATAGTAACTAGAATATTATTACTAATTTTTCCCAACAGTAAGTCGCATTACACTTACCGTGAAACCTAACGGCTTTGGACAACCTTCAAAAAACATTAGTGTCTTCACCAGTCTCTTTCCAGCCTGACCCACAGAGCCATGCTCTTCTTGAAATCTCTCTACATGGAACATATCACAATATCCTAGCTTCTGTGATGATAGATGATCAATTGAAGGAACAATTTGAGCACCAGTGCAGCGGGCTATGCGCTCCAAAAGTGGCTTTTTAATATTTAGCACAAGTGATATATCTTTTGCAAGAAGGTACTCCTGGGCATATCTTGAAACAGATTTCTCCACCAGAAGAATGTCAGGATTATGAGCATCTATCTTTGCAACAGCCATCTTAAGATGATCCGTTTCCTGGGAACAATAAAATGCTAAATATCAAAATTCATGGAAAATCTCATGGAAGATAGAATTATGAGCTAACTAAGCAACTATAAGAAAATGTCAATAATTTTAACCTGTTGCAACAAAGTATCAAAGCTTGAAAGAGCATTTGAAATCCTCTGATACTCAAGAGCACCCCCAAGGATCAGCAGACGTGGTTTCTCTATCTTTGATGTCATCCGTCGGTGAGCCACATTTTTCTTGCAGACAATTCCTTTGACAACGGAACTGTTGATAAAAATAATCCTCATCAGAATGAAATACTGTTTGTTAATATGTTGAACTTATAATGGAGCAGTCACAAAACACAATAGGAAAGTTATTTCCATTTTCATCATAAGCCAACAAAATCTGTTTGGATGAACAATCAGGAGATATGAACAGTAACATTATACACCACATGGCTTTGAGTCAAAGCCATTTACCATAATCTTTATTCATCATCAACTGATTCCCAGTAGAACTATATTCAAAAGGGGAACAATTAATATGTAAACATAAAAGTTAAACAATATCGTATAAGGTGCGACCATTTTCTATATCTTGTTGTCCATTGCAATTACACAAACAATTACCTCTCACTTCGAAGCCCCGATGCTAGACATTTCACTTTTACGTACCCCCCTGGGTCCATTTGCCCACCCTGGCTTGTGTCTGGCTTTAACAATGTGGCGGCCTCCCATGACAAGGCTGTAATTATTTCCAACCAACTTTCTTTGTCATTTACTGCCTCTGGCAGCAGATTCTCCACCTGCAAGAGCTGCGCTACTAAAGCCCTAAAGTGACCTTCGACCACGTTCTTCATCACTTTCTTGTACTCCTCATTCGATTTGTCCCTACTTCGAGACTCCCCACTCCCAAAGCTACTTGAATTGCGTAGGTATCCCCATTCTCCAGCACCATCTCCATCATCATCGTCATCCTCAAATAGAAGTGCTTCTCTTTCATCTTCTTCATCTTCCGGCTCTGGTGGAAGCCACAAAACTCCATTGCTTTCACAGTCCACGGGTTCAGTATTGACATCTTCAGCCACATATAGTGAAGAAGGTGCCTCACATTCATCAACAATATCGTGATCAACACCTTTCCTCACAATCTGCGAGACTTCGTCAGAGTTTTGGGAATCAAAAGGAATTGGTGATGGTGCGGCACTCATAATATTTGAATCGACAGCATCTCCATCGGGATGAACTTTACATGAGTTAAAATCACTGTTTAGATCATGAAACTGAGCATGCCCATAATAGTCATTGACCTGGGCAAAGTGACTCGCTTGGGAACGTATGTGAGAGAAAGAAAAATCTTCATCATCGTCGTCACTTCTGTCAAGGTAATATGCAGGTCTAGTAATTAGTGACTACATCCTACATATCTAGCATAAAGAAAACAAACTAAATTCAAGAGCATATGTTAGCAAATAAGGCAGTTCATAAATTATAAAGGAATGGCATATATCTCTTAATAGGACAGACAGTACAATAGCAAGCATCAGAATTGGAGAAAACATTCCTTCAGCAGTATAGATGCGAAAAAAAATTAAGTCACCAACACAGTAAAAACATACCAAGAACCATATCGAAGAAACTCTTTCAATCAGGAAAAATCAATCAATCAATCAAAAATACTTTATATAATCAATAACTAACCTAGACAGAAGAAGGCAACATAAAATGGTGCTAGTAGAACCATCCATTCAGATTTTCTGGTGTTCACTTTGGTCAGATTGGTTAATATTAAGTGAAAAAATGAAACAGGAAGAAAAGAAAAACACAATAAAAGCAAGAACATATTCAAAAGAGATTACAAAATTCATTGTAGAGATAACAAGTAGCCTTAATAAGTGTTCTTACTGCCGTCCACTCTACAAATGCATTGAGTGCTTCGACATGGGCAAGCCATCACATGCCAATATGCCATAAACCTTTAAATGAACAACAGTATTATCCCTTTAAAACCCATACAGAAAATGGTTCGACGAAAATAGTTTCAGCAACAATGCCTCTTTTCAAACTGGACTCCAGATACGCACTAGCAATAGAACCCCAAGGCACTTTTCTTTAAATAACAACAAATCATAAATGATGGTTAAGAAAATAACCTGTTTCTGCTGAATTCAAATCTGTCTCCGGACTGGGTCTGTTCCCCTACATCCCCAACATGATCGTTGGTTTCTCCAACACGTTCTCTCTCTACAGCTGTTTCCATAATAGGCGATCGACGAGGGCTGACTCCAGCAGACTGTGGCATGGAGAAAAAGGTAACACTGCTGCTACACGTTCCACTGGACTTAGTGCTAAGGTAACTAGTTTCTGATGGCGAAAGGCAGCTGGTGTCCCGGCTGGTGACCTGTATCCCATTATCAACAGCCACCGTCAGATCTTTTCCCCATTGCTTGAAACAGTAGTTACAGGTCCTAATCTTATCCCACTCCTCTACTAAAGCCTTCTGTTCACCTGATTCAGTAGGGACCCAATTGGAAGTACACTTGGCGCAGAAAATACGACCGCAGAGCCTACAGTGATGCCTACGGTTAAACAAGGTGAACTGGGTATCACACTCGTAACACACCCGGCAGCTCTGGTCGGGCATCCAGAAATCCCTCGACACATGAGCGGGCTCTGACCTCCATGGGATCCAGGATTTGAACAAGCCTACCAGATCAGGTAATGTCCTATCTCTCTCATCCATCGACTTAGTAACTCCTTTTCCCCTCTCATTGTGATATTCTCATCTCCTTCAAACCCTAGCATCCATCGTCAACCCCTCACCCAGAGGACTCGAATGATGGTCAAAAAATCCAATCAGTCAAACTAAGACAGCAACAGAGCAAACCAATCAGTAAGTTTTGAGGAAAATCGCAAGATTCTCAATAGATTGCTCAAGAACCGCTCCCTGCACACAGACATAACAAACATGCAAAACCTGTATCAGTAAACACACAACAGCAATGACTTGATCTGATTCTCCACTCGAATACAATAAAAAACAGTACAAAACACATAATCCTACTCAGTAGCGGTACTTCCTCGATCGCATCAAAGATTTCCTCGCAAGCGAGAATCGCAGACTACTATCTCTCCAATCGAACTTACTTCACACACTCAATCACTCACCCAATCAACCAAGACTCCAGAAACACTAATGCCCAATAAAAGGCAATGAATCAAAAAACACAGCAGAAACCAAACCTCCCGAGATACAAACGTCAAAGCAAAATGAGAGAAATCACGAACCTATCAGAGAAAATCCATTCAAAAACAATCAGCCACTCTTGGTTCAGGTCAGTATGTTTTAAGCTGATAGGAAAATCACAAGATTCTCAACAGATTTCTCAAGAAACGCCTCCCTACACACAGACATAACGAAGATGCAAAACCTGTATCAATTAACACACAACAGCAACGACTACAAAAACCTCAACACACACTTGATCTTATTCTCCACTTAAATGCAAGCAAACAGTGAAAATCACACAACCCTATCCCGTCGCAATACTGTCTCGATTGCACCAAAGATTTCCTCACAAGCATAGAACTCACTTTACACTCTCGATCACTCACCCAAGGCAACCAAGATTCAACAAATCCAGAATCACTATTCATTAAAAAAAACACACACACACACACAGTGAATCAAAAAACTTAGCAGAAACCAAACCTTTCGAGATACAACCGTCAGAGCAAAATGAGGACAAATCACGCAACTATCAAAGGAAGTCCATTCAAAATCAATTCGCCACACTTGGCTCACATCAGTAAGTTTTAAGCTGATAGTAAAATCACAAGATTCTAAACAGATTACTCAATAAACGCTCTGTACACAGAGACATAAGGAACATGCAAAACCTGTATCAGCAAACGCACACCAGCAACGACTACAAAAAACTACAACAAACACTCGATCGATTCTCCACTTAAAACAAGTACGAAACAGTAAAAATCACATAATCCTAACCAGTCGCAAAACTTCCTCGATCGTACCAAAGTTTGCCTCGCGAACGAGAAATCGAAATCACTTCTTCTCGAATCTTCACACACTCTATCACTCGCCAAGCAACCGCGATTCAAATCCACTAACACTAATCCCCAACAAAAACGCAGTGAATCGAAAAATACAGCAGAAAGCAAACCTTTCGAGATACAACCGTCGGAGCAAAATGAGGAGAAATCACGCGAATATTAGAGAAACTCCATCGGTATCAATCAGCTCCACGACAAATTTCAGATAAAATCCTTCTTCTCCTTGTGTCTGCCCTAGCTTATTGATCATTTTTTCTTCTGGGAATGAATTTATTTGGAAGTGGAAAGCAAATCCAGCTCACATGTTATATTAACTGCTAATAATTTTTTTTTATTTACGTAATTGAAAAAATAAACTCAGCGTCGTCACGGAGACTCTGTGTAATTGCAACAGTGACGGGGAAAAAATTGACGGGAAGAATATGGGCTGCCTGAAATATTGTTTTTTGTTATTATTTTCAGTTTTGATTTTGCTGGGCTGTGAAATGGCATATTAATCATTTAATCTGATATATATTCATATTTTTTTATGACTAGACGCGTGGAGAAAAAAAATAAAAAGTATAAGGTGACAGCCGATACGAGAGCGACACGT